ATCTGCTCAAACCGCGTAAGCTGGCCAGTGAACACACCTGCAGGCTGATGAGATGGAATGTTTGACGTTGCACTAGGGTATCGTATAACAGGGAAACCCCATGCAACTGTCTTATCATACACACTCAATCGAAGGGATCCATCCGTGCGTGTCTGCAACTTTGCACCTAAAAAAGTGCAAGAACCATCAGGATCTGTTGTCTCCTTCCATTCCAGACCATAACAGGCTGGCGATGGCGGGAGGCAACCGAAAGTGAGGACATCATTAATGAAACGATAAGTGAAAGCATATTGTCGAGCAGCGGAAGGATCCACACGTTGCAGGTTGTCCACGTACTGCGCCTCATCCCAATAAAGTGTAAGATTAGCAATCTCAGGACCAGCATTCGTCCCCATAGGGATACCGACGTCTTGATGACGCACAAGGCCATCCGCTGTATATAAATATGTATTAGTAACAATATAACGAAGATGTTGAAGAATGTCCGACACAGAGAGAGTGTCAGGTCCCATATCGGTTGTCCACTCCCCTGCACGCGGTCCACGGACCACCATACGAAGAGCAATATTTGATGAACGTGTCCGTGTATGCTGCTGTGCCTGTGCAAGAGCGTAGGCATGTGCCTCATCAACGGCGTTAGCAACATTGTTAAGAATGCGTTCATGAGGAAGATTAGTATACATGGTAGTAAAATCGGCCGTATGAGGGACCAGACCTCGAAGAGATGCTTTATTCTTTTTTAGGTCAAGCACGACCTCGTCACTGCTCTGAACAATCCAACATCGTCGAATGCCTTCGCGTTGAAAAAGCTGACTATCTTTTTCGCGAAGAGTGCGGATGACGCCTTGAAGTGCCGCACTCAAACGAGCCGAAGTTGCTGTTGTGCTAGCAACAGGCTTGTGAGGCGGCCGGTGATGCAAACGCTGGACTCGTTGGGAAGGGTGCAGGTCATTTCGCTGGGCCATATGAGAAGAAGAAAGGTTGTTACGGGAAGTGATACCAAGAATAGTTCGGAGTGCAGGGGGAGACTTATGGGCCTTAAGCGCGCAATAGAGATATGGCAATGTGTCAGCATGAGGGTAATTCCAATGATTGTTCCAACGTGCATGGCGATTCAGAATATCGGCCACTGTTTCCGCAGGCCGCGAATATGTAGGACTGTCAAGATGAGTAGAAAGATGGAAACGATACAAGTCCTTGCAACAAATCGCCAAATTATGTGATGTCTTGTCCACAGGAACAATCGCAAAGGAATCTTGAAGCTGACGCAGAGCCACATGTGCGTGTCGCAGCGCGCGGGGTTCCCGAAAAGGTATTGCAGTAGTCATATTGGACTCACAATGGTGCAAAACTGCGGCACGCCAAAGATGCAATTGGTGCGCAAGGGTAGCAGCGGAGGATTGTCGTGATGACGGCCGAAGGTATGCAGCGATATACTCGTCAATACCAACAGCCAGTGCCTCAAGTACATCCCCTACTGCCCCATTCAGCCGATATTTAGAGCCCTCATAGAATATATATCATCAAACAGAGCTGTCCGGTAAACCGTAGGCAGAGAGAGGGGAAGAGGACAACAAACGAAGGGCATTTCTGGGCACCCCTTGGTTCGCATAAGATCCCGATGTCTGGATCGGGTTCAGCCTTTCAGGCGCCAAACATCCGGGTCCCTTACTCACACTAGTCCGAGCATGCCCTGAAACTTGGAATTGTAACATACCTCTTTCTCCAGAACCCTCGCTGCTGCATTAGGTGGTAGGGACGGCCAAACTGCTGGCTTCGGCCAATGTGACATGCTCAGAGCCGCACTGCAACCAGCAAACACACCAACAGCAGTTGATAAAGTTATCACAACGTCCATGTCAGATCCAATATCTGCAAGCAGTATGTACATGAAAACTTATGCATGCCAAACAGGGGCAGAGCATCAATTCACAACTCTCCAACAATTTGGCCTAATGCCGGCTTTCAAATGCCAATTTTATCATTTTGCTCAAACGATCCCAACAATCTACAAGAAAAACCTGGCTCGACGAGGCCTTGAATCACTAACTACAAGTATCAAGGCTACCAGAGCTCCTCACATGGACAGCATTGTAAAAGACATACCTACTGGAAGAGAGAAAGAAAAGATTAAAAAAAACAAAGAAAAACGCATGAAAGCATTAATGAATGAGAAAGTTCATGGCGCTTCATGCACACCAACAAGTCTAATCCTTGAAGGACTGACCTCACCTGTTACATGGGCTTCTCTCAATCACTTTGCCATGTCCAACTAAATCACCCAGGCGCATGAGCTGTTATTTATCAAATTTCCAATCAGGAGGAGGCATGCAGCAAAGAAAGCCAACATAAGTTAACAGAATAGCAAGAAAGAGTTGCATGGTATCTAATCTCTGGGGCATTCATACCACCAACGCACTGCACCAGGAAACACACTAGAAGTCAATCACACACTTGAACCATTCGAGTCACTCCACTTGAAGCATGCATGCTGGACGCAGAGTGGGCATGTTGATGGCGATGGAAAAATGCTTTGCATAGAGAAGGATGTGGCAAGGGGAGTGTCAAGGGGGGTCTGAAAGGCTTTTTTGCAGGGGCAGGGGGAGAATGGGGAGTTTGCCGGGGACGAAAGCAATAACAGACCATGCGGTTGAATGTTATTGTTTCAACATCGACTTAGCTCTGGAATTTCCTTTGTCCACGCTTGGATTATCCTGTGATTTCCAATCTGGGGACTTGGCAGCCTGGCACTGAGTAATGAGCTTCGCCATGGGCATGTTTGTTATTGCTCCAATCCCGGGCATCCCCCATTTCCTAGCAAAGAAGCCGGTTCCCATCCTGTGTTTTCCAATCAGGGGTCTTGGCAGCCTAGCACTGCCCAATGAGTTTTTGCATGGATGTGTTTGTTATTGATCCCATCCCCGTTTCCTAGCACAGATGTTAGTTCCAATTGTGCAAAGAGAAGAGACTTTCTTGGGTCAACGACGAGTTCTTTCTTGGGTCTCCCTTCTTATTGTGCAAGTTCATACCAGATATTTCCGTGATAGCTCACACCTTGTATGATCTCACTAGCAAAGGCATGTCCTCAACCTGGGTGCATGCTTGTGATTGGGCTTGGAGAAATTGATAGCGACCACAGTGCATCATCCCATTCTTTGCATTGTTGACACTGCACTTTCTTTTGTTGCTAGTACCGATTCAGGATAATTTAGCATTTCCACAATCGTTCAGCACAATGATGGCACTGGACTGCGATCAGTAAGAGGATGACAGTGGAATGAGTGGCTGCATCAACATCTGAACTGGAGTTCTATGCACTCTATAAAACTCTTATGTACTGGCATTGCTACCTTTATGGTCAACGTTTTCAAAGCCTTTTCCGATCACCAGCTCTTGGAATTGCTCAAAACTCATCCTGAGTTTTCCAACAAGGACGCAGACTGGTCCACAAAATTGACACCTTTTAGTTGCATAAGAAGGGTGTTCTAAAACATGCTTTGCCACAAAGGCCTGGTCAGCTAAATCCCATGGCTTTTTCAGAAGATTTTTCCGAAGATACGAGTCCATGGTCCAAGCTATGAAAAAATCATCCTGCTTTGGAGCTGATTCCGTACGACCTTTGCTGGGATCCCAAGTGAGATTGATGGATTGCCGTTTGCTAACCGGTTCAAGAGGCATTTTATCTATCATATGAACCCATTCCCACTGTCTTCTTAGCTGACTGCCAGAACCATTGCAGACATTTTCATTTCTTCGAGATGTACGAGAGTCTGCTCGCGAGTACCTCTGGCCTGCCATGGAAAAAAATGCCCGTAGCTTCTGTCTGCCTTTTGTCAACACATCATTATTTGTATTCCAATTTCCAACCCTGCCTGTCTTCCGAAGCACTGCCTATTCCAATGGTCCGATATCATCGATATGAATATATTTCACTTCTACGGATCAAATGCATTTCTGACAAATCACAGACTATGGCATGCATTGACCGGTTTCCCAAATCAGAGGGAAGCATACCCTTCCCTGCTAAAGCAAAGATTGATCTTGTGTAGTTTGTAATGATCGTCTCGGCATACAGGGAGTCCGGCATACTATAACGAGTTGCGAACCGCATTTTTTTTAGTAGCAGAGTCAGGAAGACCAAACTTCTTCCACTCGCACTGACCATGACTTTGAACCACCATTTGGAGAGTAATGAGCAGGCCCAAGAACTCCATTAGACTGTCACTCAACTTCTGCGCTCCATGATTAATTGGAAGCAGGACTGGGAATCGCCTATTCCTACTTTTGTTGGTATGTGTTCTATTCACTCCATGACCGATAACAATCCTCGACGCCTGCTTTTCAATTGGGATGTCAACTTCCCATCGACTTTCCACCATACCAGACAGTCTAACATTGCCAAGTGCCAACTGCAGATGGTAAAACATGCTAACAAGCATCATCGTTCTT